TCTTGTAACTCTATCATCATTACCTAACCTCAGAACTTTACATTTATCAGCATTAAACTGCATCTGCCAATCCTTTGACCATTTCAAAACCCTATCTAGATCAACTTGAAGTGATAGTGAGTCCTCCTCCGAATTAATTTCCCTACCGATTTTCGTATCATCGGCAAATTTGCAAATGTTGCTACTCAAACCTGAATCTAAATCATTTATATATATTATAAACAACAGAGGTCCCAGGACAGAGCCTTGAGGCACTCCACTTACAACATTTTCCCACTCTGACTTGATTCCATTTATACTAACTCTCTGTTTCCTTTGGTATAGCCATGCCCTAATCCAGCTTAATATAGCACCCCCAATACCATGAGACTCTATTTTTTTAATCAGTCTTTCATGTGGCACTGTATCAAAAGCTTTGCTAAAGTCAAGGTATACAACATCGCAATCCTTACCACTATCAACTGCCTCAACAATGCTAGAATAAAAAGATAACAAATTTGTTAAACATGAACGGCCATTTATAAAACCATGTTGCGACTCAGAAGGAAAGTGAAAAGCCATGCAACCTCTGAAGAGACAACTAACACAACACCTATACCCCCTATTAGACTATTTTACAGGAACTTCTTTTCCACAGCTCATAAAACAGAGGAAAGGGTCCTGAAAGATATTGTTAATAGAAACGTTATCCCTACAGACAAAAATCAGAGGATACAACTGACGATTTACTATAAAACCAGAAAAACGGCCAGCCTACTCATGAGAAACTCTCCAGACACGAAACAGAACGCTTTAAAAGAGACTAACGTCGTCTATGCCTTCAAATGCCCACTTGGGGACTGTAAGCTCCAAAAAACCCAGTATATAGGCAAGACAACAACATCTCTTTCTAGGCGTTTAACGATGCATAAACAACAGGGCTCCATTAAGGAACATATAATCTCTTCCCATAACCAAACCATCGCCAGAGAAATCCTAGTAAACAACACAGAAATCATCGATAGATACAGCGATAGCAGGCGGCTTGACGTTTGCGAGGCACTACACATCAAGAAGTCAACACCAGCAATCAACAGCCAATTATTGCACAACTATATTCTACCCACCTCAAGACTCCGCTCCAATATAGAAGCATCAAGAAATATGGACCAATAGGCTTTCTACAAACACTTCTATTCAATATCCATTATTTCGTGTTCTGTCTTGTGTTGATACTTTTAATACCCTATTAATATCCTCTAATGCCACATCATCCTTCCCACCTCACTCAAATGTAATGCCACATCACCCTTCCCACCTCACTCAAAAGTAGATATAAAATCAGGGAAATGCAAGTTCTAATCAGTTGTGTATTTGTGAAGTCTTTGAAAATGTAATAAGTTTTACGAAACGCGCCCGTGTCGCGTCAGACTAGAAATAAAAATGAATTTTGGAGAAGTGATTTTTTATTTACCTCCAACAGTGAAGCATAATGTACGAAAGATTGAGAAAATTCGTGTTAGAATTATTAATCTTACTTTTTCGGTCATATTTAATAAAATATATAACATATATATATATATATATATTGGTGTTGGTGTATACTGGCAGCAGGTTTTCTTTTAATCATGTCTCATTGAATATGACCGCATATTCTGTATTTACTATCTTCTGATTTAAGGCTTCTATCCCTCTGACTATTTTCTTAGCATCAGGGCTTAGCTGAAATAGGAGTTCTCCAAAACTCATGTTCGTAATTTCAAGGTGAAGAAAAGAAGTGAATTACTATAGAATGTATTACACTTATTTATACAATTTGCAAAACGTTTCGAACCTCGATGGTTCATTCTCAAGTGAAAAGAATTTTCAGGACTGGTTGATTTTATACCCGCACTGGGTCAGGTGATAAGACAATAAAGGTGAAAACATGGGGGGATACATAAGGGATAAATGTGGGGTGAAACATAAGAACATAAGAATAGAGGTAACTGCGGAAGGCCTATTGGCCCATACGAGGCAGCTCCAATCTACATACAAAGATTAATCAAGTGTAATTGGTCTGTTATGTTGAACAGTGTCTTCTGTGTTGGCATCGTTATGTTCTGGTCTTGTCCTTACTCTCATGGTGGGTAGAGTAAATAGTTCCGTGATTTGGGTGTTCATGGTAGGTTGTTCTATTCTTATGTGAACAAATATATACCAAATAAGCATATATATATATATATATATATATATATATATATATATATATATATATATATATATATATATATATATATATATATATATATATATATATATATATATATATATATATATATATATATATATATATATATATATATATATATATATATATATATATATATATATATATATATATATATATATATAATATATATATATAATATATATATATAATATATATATATATATATATATATATATATATATATAATATATATATATATATATATATATATAATATATATATAATATATATATATATATATATATATATATAATATATATATATATATATATATATATATATATATATATATATATATATATATATATATATATATATATATATGGCTTCCTGTTCCCAATAAGGGAAATTAGACATGTTGATTGAGGGTTTGAGAGCCATAATATGATAAGGTTCTTTTAGGATTTTCAAGGTGCGGTCGACCTCTATCAAAAGGAATTGAGTTATATGAAAACTCTCACGAAACTGTCTTAAAAATGTAAGTTGATTAACTCGGAGAGTTTTCTAAACGAATGTAATTGGCTGTTTGGTCGGTTTAACTCTGAAAATGTAGTACTGACTTGACCTCAACTAAGGGTTGTGTTTATTTGTAATCAGAAGATTGTGTTCAGGTGGCTTTAAGATGATTGTGTTCACTTGACCTTAAGAATGTTCTGTTCACTTGACCTTAAGAATGTTCTGTTCACTTGACCTCAAGGTGATTGTGTTCACTGAGCCATTATACGACCGTGTTCATTTGGCCTCAAGAGGGTCATCTTGAGATGATTTCGGGGCTTTAAAGTCCCTGCGGCCCGGTCCTCGACCAGGCTTCCACCCCCCAGGAAGCAGCCCGTGACAGCTGACTAACACCCAGGTACCTAATTTACTGCTAGGTAACAGGGGCATAGGGTGAAAGAAACTCTGCCCATTGTTTCTCGCCGGCGCCTGGGATTGAACCCAGGATCACAGGATCACAAGTCCCACGTGCTGTCCGCTCGGCCGACCTCACTTATCACCACGAAACCGTTAACACAAATTACAAATAAAAATGTACGTCACCCTTTCATGAGGGGGCCTCGTAGCCTGGTGGATAGCGCGCAGGACTCGTAATTCTGTGGCGCGGGTTCGATTCCCGCACGAGGCAGAAACAAATGGGCAAAGTTTCTTTAACCTTGAATGCCTCTGTTACCTAGCAGTAAATAGGTACCTGGGAGTTAGTCAGCTGTCACGGGCTGCTTCCTGGGGGTGGAGGCCTGGTCGAGGACCGGGCCGCGGGGACACTAAAAAGCCCCGAAATCATCTCAAGATAACCTCAAGAAGATAACTATGGTTTGCTGCAATTCTCAGTCATGATGCTGCATGATTTTTTGTTCTTCAATTTTGATTGCAATTTTACGCTCTATTTCCCCTACATAGACTTCGTTGTAATATCTGCAAGGTAATATATACACGGCTCCCGGACTTCTATAATCTACTCTATTCTTACAAAGCCCTTCCCCCTAATTGTATTAGGGGAATTGAAAGCAATTTTGTGTCTTGTATCAATTGCTTTCTGGGTCAGTTTATTTAATAGAGGCTTATATGGTAATTTCATGAGTGGTTTCTTATCAGGATTCTTTCGGTTTTAGTGTAATAAAGGGTGTACTGATAATGTAATTAGTAGTTGGCTAATACTTTAATAATGCTTTATATTTGCTTTATATTTTTTATTAATAATGCTTGCCCGAAACGCATTGCGTAATAGTGGCTTTAGGCATTGTATGTACTAGCTCTATCTATATATCAATCCATTAATGTAACATCACTTGTATGTATATACCTTACCTGAATAAACATCTGAATCTGAATCTGAATTTGATATTTGTAATGTGTTATTGAAGAAATCAACTTGTATTTCTTTCAACGCCGTGGCTAATTAGTGGCTTTGTATAAATTCTACAATTATTTAGGCCTATTATAAATGTAAACTGTAACACGTACACTATATTTTTTCTATAAACATAATTATCATTCTTTATTATTGGAGAGCGCTTAGCTCTATTTCAACTAGAGCCTAAAAGGACGGTACGATAACCTCCTCGCGCATCCTTCTCTGGCCGCGGCGCTGCCAGAGTCACGACCAACCATTCACTTACTTACTTGGCTTGTGTTTCTATCGGGAGTTAGTGTGCCTGGTGCCTTCATGGTGACTAGTGGTTCTACACACTTAGCACTCACTAGCAGTATAAACAGCACTCGCTAGCAGAACAAGCATCATTCAATATACACAAATACTTAGTTTCAAAGGACTGAATCAATTAATAACTGTTGGTGAATGACTATACGTAGCTAATCAACTTAGTTTACAAATTTAAAGTGCAAAGTACATTATTGCCAAAAAGTAATGATGATAGCCTAATTATTGTCCATTTATAAAAATTTGTTTCGATAATAAAGTATTGTGATTAAACGCTCTTATAAAAAAAACTGTTTTCAGAGTTTGTGTTGTGTTTCAGAAACTCTGTTTCTGAAAACTCCCCTAAGAAGTTCAACACAGTGGAACTATACTGGGCAGCAGGGGTAAAAAAACAGCGCCAGAATTATATATATACACACACACGACTCTCCTGAGGTTAAGTGAAGGATCTTCTCTACAGGAACACTTCCTTCAACAAGTTCTTCATCTCAGAGAGCCTCGCTGGGTGGCCAAGGCTCGCAGGAGGCTTTCTTTAAGAGGAGGTAAGTTTCTGTATTATTGGTATAGGGGGGAGGGGAGGATATAAGGCTTTATTTAGTTACCAATCACGATAGGTTTATTAAAGCCTATCATTATGGGAGGGTTATTGAAGTCTATCATTATGAGAGGGTTATGGAAGCCTATCATTATGGGAGGGTTATGGAAGCCTATCATTATGGGAGGGTTATTGAAGTCTATCATTATGGGAGGGTTATTGAAGTCTATCATTATGGGAGGGTTATTGAAGACTATCATTATGGGAGGGTTATGGAAGCCTATCATTATGGGAGGGTTATTGAAGTCTATCATTATGGGAGGGTTATTGAAGTCTATCATTATGGGAGGGTTATTGAAGTCTATCATTATGGGAGGGTTATGGAAGCCTAGCATTATGGGAGGGTTATTGAAGTCTATCATTATGGGAGGGTTATTGAAGTCTATCATTATGGGAGGGTTATTGAAGTCTATCATTATGGGAGGGTTATTGAAGTCTATTATTATGGGAGTGTTATTGAAGTCTATCATTATGGGAGGGTTATGGAAGCCTGTCATTATGGGAGGGTTATTGAAGCCTATCATTATGGGAGGGTTATTGAAGTCTATCATTATGGGAGGGTTATTGAAGTCTATCATTATGGGAGGGTTATTGAAGCCTATCATTATGGGAGGGTTATTGAAGTCTATCATTATGGGAGGGTTATGGAAGCCTATTATTATGGGAGGGTTATTGAAGTCTATCATTATGGGAGGGTTATGGAAGCCTATCACTATGGGAGGGTTATGGAAGCCTATCACTATGGGAGGGTTGTTGAAGCCTATCATTATGGGAGGGTTATTGAAGTCTATCACTATGGGAGGGTTATTGAAGTCTATCACTATGGGAGGGTTATTGAAGTCTATCACTATGGGAGGGTTATTGAAGTCTATCACTATGGGAGGGTTATTGAAGCCTATCATTATGGAAGGGTTATTGAAGCCTATCATTATGGGAGGGTTATTGAAGCCTATCATTATGGGAGGGTTATTGAAGCCTGTCATTATGGGAGGGTTATTGAAGCCTATCATTATGGGAGGGTTATTGAAGCCTGTCATTATGGGAGGGTTATTGAAGCCTATCATTATGGGAGGGTTATTGAAGCCTATCATTATGGGAGGGTTATTGAAGCCTGTCATTATGGGAGGGTTATTGAAGCCTATCATTATGGGAGGGTTATTGAAGCCTATCATTATGGGAGGGTTATTGAAGCCTGTCATTATGAGAGGGTTATTGAAGCCTATCATTATGGGAGGGTTATTGAAGCCTATCATTATGGGAGGGTTATTGAAGCCTGTCATTATGGGAGGGTTATTGAAGCCTGTCATTATGGGAGGGTTATTGAAGTCTATCATTATGGGAGGGTTATTGAAGCCTATCATTATGGGAGGGTTATTGAAGTCTGTCACTATGGGAGGGTTATTGAAGCCTATCATTATGGGAGGGTTATTGAAGTCTGTCACTATGGAAGGGTTATTGAAGCCTATCATTATGGGAGGGTTATGGAAGTCTATCACTATGGGAGGGTTATGGAAGCCTATCATTATGGGAGGGTTATTGAAGTCTATCACTATGGGAGGGTTATTGAAGTCTATCACTATGGGAGGGTTATTGAAGTCTATCACTATGGGAGGGTTATTGAAGCCTATCATTATGGGAGGGTTATTGAAGCCTATCATTATGGGAGGGTTATTGAAGCCTATCATTATGGGAGGGTTATTGAAGCCTATCATTATGGGAGGGTTATTGAAGCCTGTCATTATGGGAGGGTTATTGAAGCCTATCATTATGGGAGGGTTATTGAAGCCTGTCATTATGGGAGGGTTATTGAAGCCTGTCATTATGGGAGGGTTATTGAGGATTATTGACTCAAATGACATATAATTGCAATCATGTAATTTACAATTAAAACATTATACAATTGGCTGTTGAGTGCTCGTGTTGACTTTTGATGTGTAGGTCCTCGCTGATGTCGAGTCGCCTGCTATCGCTCTATCTATCAATGATTTCTATGTTGCTTGTTAAGATTTCTCTGGTGATGGTCTGGTTGTGAGAGGAGATTATATGTTCCTTGATGGAGCCCTGTTGTTTGCGCATTGTTAATCTCCTAGAGAGAGACGTTGTTGTCTTGCCTATATACTGAGATCTTTGAGGCTGACAGTCCCCAAGTGGGCATGTGAAGGCATTATATATATATATATATATATATATATATATATATATATATATATATATATATATATATATATATATATATATATATATATATATATATATATATATATATATATATATATATATATGGTTTTTTGTTTCCAACGTCTAATCCTTTACTTAATTTCCAGCATTACACCTCCACTGCCATTTATCAGTCTACTTACCGTAATTAGGACGTTCAAGTTACCTTGCCATTTGTCACGCTAATGGTGCCGAGGCATTGTTATGTAGCCTGACCTTACTTAAAAGTACGCCCCCCTATGTCGGTAATTCATTGCATAATTGTTTTATTAAGTGTAAGCAGTTATGCACATATGTCGTACCTAATAGTCAGAACGCACTAGTTGGTATGGTAACTAGTGCATAACACACACACACACACACACACACACACACACACACACACACACACACACACACACACACACACACATACACACACGAGAATTGAACATCACTTCGTTGGAAGACATAAGAGTTAGGGGGGACATGATCACCACATTCAAGATTCTCAAGGGAATCGACAGGGTTGATAAAGACAGGCTATTTAACACAAGGGGCACACGCACAAGGGGACACAGGTGGAGACTGAGTGCCCAAATGAGCCACAGAGATATTAGAAAGGACTTTTTTAGTGTCAGAGTGGTTGGCATATGGAATGCATTAGGAAGTGATGTGGTGGAGGCTGACTCCATACACAGTTTCAAGTGTAGATATGATAGAGCCCAATAGGCTCAGGAACCTGTACACCAGTTGATTGACAGTTGAGAGGCGGAACCAAAGAGCCAGAGCTCAACCCCCGTAAGCACAACTAGGTGAGTACAACTAGGTGAGTACACAGTCCGCCTCGAGGTTGAGTGGATAGCGCTTGGGGGGGGGGAGGTCGTAGTCCTAATGGCCCGGGTTCGACTCCCGGCGGAGGTGGAAACAAATGGGCAGTTTCTTTCACCCTGATGGTCCTGTTCACCTATCAGTAAATAGGTACCTGGTAGACAGCTGCTATAGGGTGCATCCAGGGGATGTGTGTGTGTGTGTGTGTGTGTTAGAGAGAAAAATATGAAGAAGACATAATAGAGGAAGCATAAATTGATTAGAGAGGCGGGGTCCAAGAGCTAATAGCTCGATTCTGCAGACACGAATAGTGAATACATACACACGCATATTACAAAATTCTCAGAGTAATTGATAGAGTAGGTAAAGACAGTTTATTTAACACAGGAGGCACATGCAAAAGGGGGACACTGATGGGTGAACAGAGGCATCAGGTGAAGGGAAACGCTGCTCAATCATTTTTGTCTTGCCACGTGGATTGAACCCCGCGATCTTCGGGTGTGTATTTATTATTTGTGGCTGCAGATTCAAGCTGTTAGCTCTTGGACCCCGCCTTTCTAGTCAATCTATTTTTCCTCTATTATGTCTACTACCTGTATTTCTCTGTAACACACCCACACACACCCAAGAAGCAGCCCGTAACAGATGTATAACTCCTAGGTACCTATATATTTCTAGATGAACAGGCGCATCAGGGTGAAAGAAACTGTGCCTATTTGTTTCCGCCTCCGCAGGGAATCGAACCCGTCCCATTAGGACTACGACCCCCAAGCGCTCTCCACTCAACCACGAGGCCCCCCCCCCAAGTTTCCTAATTTCACACACTGTGTATGTATATATATGTGTGTGTGTGTGTGTGTGTGTGTAATTACCTAAGTGTAGTTACAGGATGAGAGCTACTCTCGTGGTGTCCCGTCTTCCCAGCACTCTTTGTCATATAAGGTGTGTGTGTGAGTATACACATAAACATACCATTATACAAATGTGTGTGTGTGTGTGTGTGATATTGAGAAGAAACTCCTGAGTCTCATCTGCCACATTACCTCACGACAGGCAGGTTGCCCAACCATCTCCCCTCCCACCTGTGACCTGGACGCCTAAGGTGAAACACAGCACCCATCTCCCATACCCAGGTGCCCTGAGGAGGAGACGAGCAGCAAAGGCTTTAACACAGCGTGTTACACAACCCTCAGCCCGCCCGCTGGGGAGGTGCTCTTGCTGCACTTTGATGGTAAAAGCCGTTTTGTTGCTCGCCTCCAAAATCAATTACCGATTGAGAATGGAACTGCTCGCAATTTGTAACATTTCCACCTCTACCCACACTGCTACGTCTGCTAGATCCCTCAGGGAACTCTTGGATATACCAGGGGACTTAGATATACCAGGGGACTGTTAGATATACCAGGAGAGTGTCAGATGTGAGGGCATGGATGGTGCAGATGGTGACATCAGCCAGCTACACACGTCACACTCCTTCACTATAGCGGTAGTGAAGGGTGAGCCATATTTGTTTACTATGACTGCGTGTTTCTTAAGCGAAAACTTTCTTCGGCACTACTGGTGAAGCCATTTGTGGGTGTTGCCCCTCTCGCGGGTGGCCCCGTGGCCCGGTGAGGGTGGTCTCCTGTGCCCCGTCCATGGATGGGTGTGGGTGACGCCGCCCATGGGTGGGTGTGGGTGGCGCCGCCCACGGGCGGGTGTGGGTGGCGCCGCCCATGGGTGGGTGTGGGTGGCGCCGCCCACGGGCGGGTGTGGGTGACTTTTGCTCTGCACTCCTGCCTGCTGTAATGGTGCTCAAGCAAATTACATCCATGTGGTTTCGTCACCTGTGTGTTGGCCATTCATAGAGTCTGTTATGGTGGCAGACACATAGACTGCCGCGTGTGTTGTTAAGGCCTTATTTAGACCTGCAGCTGATCGCCTAACTGCTCTGTCAAGCAATGGTGAGATCCCGGATCTAGTCTCCAAAAATATATACATTTAAATGCCAACCTCGGCACTATCATCCTCCTGCCCCGGGATGCAACAAGGGAATATGGACCTTAAAGAATGCCACGAGGATATTAAATATATCCTAAAATCTCCAAGGATATTGTGTTCGTGTGGTCGATACGCTGATGCGACTCTCACGGTCGCAAAGTGCTTCTCCCCAAGTGATTTTTGCCCCATTGTCATGATGTGCTGTCGATGTAAACTTTTCGAACGAATGGTTAAAAGCCTCATGTGGTTTTTGGAACATTAATAATGACTCTTTTTCTCAATTTGACTTTTGCATGTGTCGCTGCATTGACTTCCACCCCTAGTCAACTTGGAAAATTACATTCATACTGTCTTTGATACAAATATATCCTTTGTTGTTATTTTTTTTTATCTAGAAATGACTTATAACACTACTTGGAGATGAAATATTTTAGCTAAACTTCATACTTATCGCCTTCGTGACAATCTCTCAATTTGTCTTCAACGCTTCTCCTCTTGTTGATTGTTTAGAGTGCGACTTGGTACACTTTCCTCTGACGCTTTTCAGTAGTACGGAGGTGTACCCCAGGGTAGTGTTTTAAGTCCTTCCTAATGATTTTCCTCTCCCTCTCCGCTGAAGGATTCTCAGCCCTCCTTGAAGGCGACCTCACTCTTGTCGCGGTCACGGCTTCTCCGTCCAACGCTGACCCCAACTAGCAATTGTTAGCTCGTCCTCCCGTGCTACCAGTCACAACTTGAACTTCTCCCCAATTAAGACTTGTGATTGGACTTGTATCGGGAAGCGTGTCATTGCTCATCTCCCTTTTGTCGCTCGATGGCACTCCGCCTCCTGGCACAGGAGGCAGGTTGATTGACGGTTGAGAGGCGGGACCAAGGAGCCAGAGCTCAACCCCCGCAAGCACAAGTAGGTGAGTACAAGTAGGTGAGTACAGGTGTGTAAGAAGCGGCTGGTAATGGCTCTGGCGAGGCCCTCCACCGACCAGACATACATGAATACATAGAGTTAGATTAGCATTTTAAAAGCACTACAATCACATTCTGTAGTTGATTGTTCAATAAATCCCCTGTTTAGCAGATCTCTAACCATGTCCATGGAGGACAGAAGAAAATGTATATATGCTGGTTAGCATTGTAAATGTGTGGCCACGTCTGTGGTAACAAAATAATAATAATAATAATAATAATAATAATAATAATAATAATAATAATAAACAACAGACACTCTTAAATCACGGGGTATTTAATGGACCGGCTCGTTGCTCCGTATTGTCCGAATTGCATTGTCCTGCACCTCCTTGTTGAGTGTTCAGATTTTCAGTAACTTTTGCTTTGCGAATGTCCCTCAGGGTCCTGTGTCCCACGACAGAATCCTTGATGAATCCGATACGTCTCATGTTGCTGGCTTTTTGCCCTTGTTCTCGTATTGGCATTCTGAATGATATTTAGCACCTTTTGGAGTATCCAGGAACACAGACGGTGCTACGTAGCCTTCCCGGCTTGGTGCCTTCTTTTGATAGTTACTTTCTTGGCTTGGAAAGTAGCCAAGATGCTTCAGAACTCTGTATTACGCAAACACGCTTTTGATCACATTAAATGCTTTTGATATGAGAGAGAGAGAGAGAGAGAGAGAGAGAGAGAGAGAGAGAGAGAGAGAGAGAGAGAGAGAGAGAGAGAGAGAGAGAAAGAGAGAGATAGAGAAAGAGAGAAATAGAGAGAGAGAGAGTGAGAGAGAGAGAAAGAGAGAGATAGAGAAAGAGAGAAATAGAGAGAGAGAGAGAGATAGAGATATGTGGAGACCCCAAAAAAATAATTT